GAGGATCAGAATATATTTTTATGTTTAGATAACACCTACAAAAGTATTTACAGATTGCTTATAACAAGATTCTTACATCGTACGATATTATGGATTATGAGCAAACTCCTTACTAATTGGATCTCTTTTCTTTTTCTTTTTAATCATTCCCTTCTCTCTTTTTTTTAAATATTAGGATGGTTTCTTTAATTTTATTCCAATATTTTATTATCAGGCATGATATATGAAATATATAGTTGTATAGAAATTAATTTCATCAAAATATTCAAATTTGATAATATTAATAAAAATTTAAAAATTATGTTAAATTTCATAAAGTTATTTTTTGGGTATTCTCGTGTTAAAGTATTTTCTAGTAGTGCACAATATTTTTTTCATAAAATATTTTTTCAATCATAATGAGCATCCTAAACTTTTGGATACTCAAAAATATTTAGACTATTGAAGTTATCGAAAATTACTTTAGAACATTGAGTATTATATTACACTAAAAATTATTTTAAGATATTGAGTATTATGGAAAACTTGAGGGTGTTAAATATAAGTTAATCAAATTTCATTTAGGGATGGTAAAACTTTTATCTCCTTAAGTTGTCTTAATTATTAATTTGATCCTTGAAATTTAATTTTTATCAATTGAATCTCTATTAAAATGCAAATTTGCCCCATAATTTTAAATTCATAACAATTTTACTTTCTGCCGTTAAAAAACTAACACTAGTTATTAAAATAGTAACACTGACCATCAATATTTTTAATGATAAAAATAATATTATTATAATTTTAAATTCTTGAGATAAATTTGCATCCAAAAATTTCTAAATACTCAACGCTCTATAGCAAAAACTTCCACAATAAATATGCATGTCTTTGGAGTTTTATAAAGATATTCAATTATATTTTAGAGACTACATAAATTTTAAATATTATTAAAAAATTATACTTTCAAATAATTTAATAATGATTAAATTTTGGGCTTCTGCATTACACAAATTAACATTACAATTTTGGATATATCTTCTCGCTAGAACTGTTTTAAATACATCTAAATGGATATTGTATACCGCACAATACCTAATGACTATGTTTGCATCATTCACCAATAATACCATTTAAAATAAACTTGGTTGCCCTGGCATGAAGTTTTAAGAGACAGGTGATTACATAGTGCTACTATAATATGCTTCCAATTCCTATATTTGATATTAATATTCAAAATTGTAATATTCACTGTCAATATCAATGATTACATTATATTATTTTTTTAGGGGGAATTATTTATTTTTATTTATTAGTGACCTTTTGTTCTTCCCTTCCATCTCTCCCTCGTTGACCAAAAGAAAAAGAAAAAAACAAAAACCTCTCTCTCCCCCCCCCCATCTCTCTCTTCCACTTGAAGATCAAAATCAGAGGGACCAAGCCCGTCGTTACGGAGAATCGAAACGAATTCAACCTTTTTCGAAACTTTCTGGGGTTATCTTTCTTCTCATTCTGATTCTTCTCTTTCTCTCTGGCGTTTGGCTGCTGAGAAAATTAGAAGGAAAACAAAAACAAAAGAAAGACAAGTCTTTCTGTTTAGTCTTCTTCCCTGTGGCGGTTATCACCCAGACGAAGGAAACAGAGAAAAATGAAAGCTATAAATCCTGTAAGCTCTCTCATTCTTACTCTCTGGCTCTTCATTTGATCATATTTCATAATTTTCTCTATGTTTTAATGAATTTTCGATGGGTGTTCAATCTTGCTGGCTAATGAAACTGAATTTTCTTGGGTTTTCCGATTTCTCTCTGCTTCCCCTGTTTTTCTTGTGAGCAAAACTCCAATGAAATTCAAAGTTCTCGGTGAAGTTTGATTGATGAATCATTGATATTTCTGGCTTTTATTGCGTTTTTATTTTGAAGTTATTCTTTTGAAATTTTGGATTTGAGTTCAATCTGGCTAGCTTAAGAAACTGAATTTTCTTTGGTTTTCTTTACGTTTCTCTCGGTTTACCCTGTTCAACTGGTGAGAGAAAACTGGCTAGAAGGAAGTTCAATGTTCTGTGTGAAGTTTGATTAACTAATAATTCATTCTCTGGCTCTTCTTCTTATTTTATTTCATAACTCTGTATAAAGGTTACAACTTTGTTTCTTCATTTTGAATTTTGACTTTTCGTTCAATCTAGCTAGCAGAAGAAACTGAGAATTTTCTCGGGTTTTCTTTGCTTTACGTTTCACTCTGCTTCCCCTGTTTATCAGGTGAGGAAATTAGAAAGAAATTCAAAGTTCTATGTGAGTTTGATTTGACTAAAAATTTCAATCCAGTCTGGCTTTTCTTCTAGTTCTTGTATTGTTTCTCTAATTTCGTACCCATATCAATTGATTAATCATTATTTGATTTTATTTGATAATTCCGTCTTTCCTGGAAAGTTTTGTTGTGACTTGATTCTGTCTCTCACTTTCCTTCATGAACTCGTCCAAGATTTTCGGGTTTTATATTATTCAATGTTAAAAGCTTCAGAGTGCAATTTTTGGAGCAAATATAATCTGTGCTCTATCCTTAAATGTCATACCATTTTCTTGTTTAATTCATGTTTAATTGAATTCCCAACTTAGCTTTCCTTAATTGTAAAATTGTATGATGCGGATTTTTTATTTTCATTTTATTTTATTTGACCAGGATGATGTAGATCGTACAGATTGACTTTCTAGAATAAGTTAAATAATCAAATCAATCAGAATGTGATATGAAAATTAATTATTGGTTTAATGATGGTAATTTTTCTTTTCATTCACTATCCACTATTCTAAAAACTCAGATTGAACCAACTGATTTCTCTAGAAAATTGATGATATGATATTATAAACAGTTCGTGGTTTAATTGAAGTGGTCAAAAACTGATCAAATTCCTCAAAAACGTGGAAAATCATAAAATCTATGACCGGTTCAAACTCTTTTATCTTTTTTTTTTTTTGGAAAAAAATTTCTTTTGGTTGTTGCTAGCAAATACTACTTCCGGTCCTTAATATAAAATCTTGTTTGACTTTTATTTTGGTCTTAAATATAAGATTTCAATCCACTTTGTCTCTCATATTTATGTATTTTTTTTCTTAAAATAGTCCTTCTAACAATGATATTTCTAACCAATAAGCTTCATTAGCAAGGATATTTTAGAAAAAAAATATCTATTTATTACAAATAACTAACTTAATATCTTTCCTTAATCTTTTCAAATTAGTCAATTAGCTCTTATAATTAGGACCAGAGGTAGTAACATGATTCTTAGAATATTCTTTCCTATATATAATCTTGAGTTATGATATTTATTTGTAGTAATAATTTTTATTTATTTTATAAAATATTTTTGAAATTTAAAATTAAAATATTTTAATCAAATTACAACTAATTTCACATTGCATTTTTCAAAATATTTGCCGTGTCTTCCAAGTTAAATTCAGAAAAATAAATGGTATGAAAATAATTTAGTAATTTGCATTCAAAAAATTTTGAAGTTAGTATAATTTTTTATTTATTTTTTTCAGGCAATTATGTTATCAGAACCAAAGAATAAATCGTGCTTTCGCAGTTTCTTCATTATATTTTCTCTGATTTGTGGGGCTTATTTTGTTGGAAACGCCTTAATTGCAACAGAATACAGGGCAGTAAGTATTTCCTCTGACCTTTCTTTCTTTCTTTTTATAGCTTTCGGTGAATTATACTTATACGTAATTCTTCTGAAGTTTATGTTATATCCATAATAAATAACCTCCTTAGGCTTTGAAATTTTATCATAAATCCCTTAAACTCTGATATTTATGCAGAAATTTCTTTACTAGTACTCTTTTGATATTATTTATAAGTTATTTTTCACCATGTTATATCAAAAAAAAAAAACCCTTAAATTTTATTAACAATGTCTTAAAATTAGAAAAAATCACAAATAAAGATCCTTACATTATCAAAATTACGCAAAAGTCACCTAAATAAACAAAATTATCTTGAGGGACCCAGTCTCATATTGTAAATATAAAATCTTGGTAAAATATCTTTCAACCAAATGATGAGTTGACTATAGGAAGTGACAAGTTTATTTTAGCGAATAACAATTTCAGTAGATCAAATCACAACTTGGTTGAAGGTATTCCAAGTGACAAGTTGACTATGGAAAATAATAAATTTACTTTAGCGAATGACAAATTTAGTAGACCAAATCACAACTTAACTAAGGGGCATTTCAGACATTTGGCCAAGATTTCATATTTGCAACATGAGTTGGGTCCTTCATGATAATTTTGCTTATTCAGGTGACCTCTGCATAATTTTAGTAATTCAGGAGTCTTTATTTGTTATTTTTCCTAAAATTTAATAATTTTTTAACCATATTCCTATTATATCCACTTTATAATAAGTTAATAATATATTAAATTTTTTCGACTGAAATATTATTTTTCTTTTTCTGTATTTTTGCGTTTCCCACTGAAATTTAGGCAGGATACCAAAAAACTATTTATTTATTTATTCATTCAACACATTGTTTTTTGCTTTTGATTTTATTTCTAGGTACCTCCTATATATTGTAAAACAACATTACATGAATTATTTATTAATATACTTAGGAAAAATTTTAAGTTTGAGCCTCGCAGATTAAAAGTACAAAAAAAAACCATGTTAAGAGAACTTTCTCTAATTAGGAGTCTAATATCACAAATTGAATTGGATGTTTAAAATAAAAATAAATTTATTTTAGATTATGCAATTTTCAGAAGAGAAATAAGTTCAAATTCTTGATTATTAATTACTGACTTTGTGGTAAATAAACTATTTGGGCATTGCCCTTTGCAGAGATTAGTGATCGGCACAAAGAAGAATATAAAATCCACTACATGCAAGGTTTGTCAATTGGAGGGAAATAATTAATTAATCCTAATTAAATAGATTATATTTTCAGCTTAATTTGTATTTATTTATTTGTTTGTTTGTTTATTTTTTCGTTTTCTCCCTCTTAATAAGGGTCAAGGCAGGCTGTACGGAAGCAAAGCATTGCCCGAAGGAATAATTGTCAAACAATCTAACTTGGAAATGCAATCGTTGTGGAACCTTAAGGAAAATAAGGTACTTCTAATTAATTTATTTGGATCCAAAAGTCTATATCCAAAAGTTTAGTATAAGAGTTTTATATTTAGGACTGAAAGAATATATATATATATATATATCAAATGCACACATGATTTGTCCCAGCAGCAAAAACAAGAATACGTCTTATTCTCTGACGTGAGATTAGTTATATGGATCTTATCGCCTTGTTATATTCTATCAACAATAAAATCTTTACATGAATTATTAACCAAAAGGTTTTATTTAATAATTTTATTAAGCATCCTTTTCAGTCTTTTTTCAGTTCTTTTCAAAGGACTCTTCTATATTGATTTATCTATCATTTTTACTAATGTCTCTAACCGCTTTTTTTTGTACATGTCTGATATGTCCGAATTATATTTAAATTTTAATTAGATTAAAGTTGGTCAAATATGAATTATTAAAATAAGACATCAATAAACAAGCTGTTGGTTGAGATGGTAAGCAGTCTCACCTTCCGTAAGGAGCAGAATACAAGTTTGAATTTAGAAAAAGACACCTGTTGAGAGAAGCGAAAATCCTTTACATTCTAAGCCTCAGAAAAAGAAACCCTTGATCAAATAAAAGAAAATAAGAGATCAACATAAAACATAGAATTCATTGATATATAGTAATACTCACACATATATGTTTATCCTTAAAAGTCTGGTGTGCGAAATGTGACACCTTTGAAGCAACTTTCTTGCTCAATATTTGTCGTCAAATCAAATATTCTTTTTAATCTTATCACATGTTAATGACATGTAATTATTAATTGATAATTCTTCTCTGTGTAATTTAGTCTTCTTGATTGTTATTTTTTTCTTTTTAGTTCTTTGTGACACTTCACACTTGATAATAAAATTCTTGTTGTTTCAGAGACATTCCAAGCCTCCATTGAACTTGTTGGCTATGGCAGTAGGAATTAAGCAGAAAGAAATTGTCAATAAAATAATAGAGAAGGTGATTTTACTTCCACTTAATTTCTTCATTTAACTCTAATCTACACTGAGTATCAAATTAGGATTATTTTATGTTTGCAATAAATTACGGAGTTTTGTGAATTTTTTTAAATATTTTTACACTTTTAATTCTTTAACTTCAAATAAGATTTTATTTTGATAATTTAAATTTATAAAGGGTACTTTCAGTGTTTTAGTTTTAATAACATCAACAACAAAAACATATTGACATTAATTTTATTAGAAATGAATGTTGTTTGGAACCACAAATTATTTCTTCATACTAATATTTATTTATTATTAATAATTGCAGTTCCTTTTGGGTGAGTTTGTTGTAATGCTGTTTCACTACGATGGTATTGTGGATGGATGGAGGGATTTTTCTTGGAGTGATAATGTCATCCATGTTTCTGCGATTAATCAGACAAAATGGTATACAATTATTTTAAAATCAATTGATTAATTGATAATTAAACAATTAATCAATTATTCTTCTAAAATATTATATTTGGGGGCACAGGTGGTTTGCAAAAAGATTCTTGCATCCGGATATAGTTGCTGATTACAATTATATATTTCTCTGGGATGAAGACCTTGGCGTTGAAAATTTTGACCCAGAAAGGTAACCAAAAAAAACTTTTAATATTATCATTTTTTTTTGCCGAATAATATTATCATTATTGAAATTTAGGATTAATACAAAATAGTTGGTTGAATTGAATTTGGGAATAAAACTCCACTACTTTTAGATGCTAGTAATAAATTCTTAATAATCCATTCAAGGCAATTCTTGGTTCGCATTAAGCAAAATGATTCCTTTTCAATGACATGTATATTGACATGTGTGCATTATTCATTTTTGCTTCTATTATCATTACTCAATAATTATTATATATTTCTATTCTACTATTTTCTTAATACTTTATAGTAATAATAAATATTATACTCTTATTATTTGCACTACTCACGAACAATCTTCATTCTTCTCGATTTTTTATGCACTAGTCATATTTTCTACACTGTCTTGACAACAATTAGTATAAAAGCCCCGATAATACTTTTTATGTGCTAGTGCTTGACTACTGGGAAAATCCTTTAAAAAAAAATCACTTGAATTTTAAAATCTCAAATTACTCGTGTTTCATACACTTTAATAGGAATTGACTACACTTGAAAAGCAAATTACAAGTTTACAACATATTTTTTCTTGATATAGAATTTTGTAATTCAAGTCGTATTTTTTTGCGGGGTCTTTTCTTGACTATTATATAATAAAGCTAGTAAAATAACTAATAGGGAATACCTACTATGATTTTTTGTTTTGTTTATATCATAATTTAATATGTTAATCATATGGTAGGTACTTATCTATTGTTGAAGAAGAGGGACTTGAGATCTCGCAACCTGCGCTTGATCGCCAGCAATCCACTTTGAACCATCAACTCACTGCTCGTAGAACCGGCTCAAGAGTCCACAGGTAATTCTCCTGCAATATTTTCTTTTCTCTGTTTTTTTTTTCCCTCACTTTCAAAGAGATTCAAATATATGAACAAGCCAATCATTATGAAGAAATACTTAAGCATGTCAAGGAGGTTTACGTGCTTCTTTGATGATATAATATCATGCATAAGCATTACATCGTTAAAAAAGAACCACGGCGTTTCTTTTTTTCTTTTCTTTTTTTTTTTGCTTTTAATAATGTCTTTTTATATAAAACAATCCTGTTCAAGGTATGATCAAACATTAACTGTGAGTGCCTCTCCTATGCAAATGTGGGACAAAAACAGAGGCCCAGACCTGACCCATTGGGCCATGATGAAACCAAAATTTCGTGGCCCAAGCCCCTTCCAAGCATGAGCATTTCATTTGGGAGAATACTATGGTTAAGTGTTTTACATCACTATATCAAAGTTTTTCAATTATATATAATTATGTGTCTTATTTTTGAAATATTAGCATTTAATAACATTTAATTATAAAATCACACAAAACAAGAAAGAACATATGACCATAGATAAGGTACTGAAAATTGTATTGGTCATTGAATCAGTCAAGACAGTGGGTCAAGGATTAGTGGATCAAATCATAGTCAACCTGGAGGTTAAACTAATAAAAAATAAAAAAATAATTTAAATTTTCATCAAGAAATTAATATCAATTTGGTACTTTGAATCACTAATACAATAATAATATATTTACAATTTCTTCCAACCTTTTTGCAGTCCCTTTGACAAATTAAAATTATAATATCATACTATCAAAATCACTAAATATTCATATTAGGAAAATATTAAAACAAATATATGATAACAAAATATTCCTCCCTACAGCCATTCAATCACTAGATAGTACTTATTAACATCTTTAAAAAAAATTCATCAAAATAGTTTTTTTCCCCCTAAAAAAGCAACTGATAAACTCACCAAACTATTTGGGTTACTTGGGTTATTCACGAGTTACCCTGGGTTGATTCAAGTCATACTGAGTCAATTTATCCTTAGTTTGTATGCTCAACCAGATCGGTTTGTCAGTTTCTAGGCTAAACAGGACGGTTTGTTCTAGGTTTTAATACCATGACCATATATAATTAGAGAATTTGACATAAATACGAAACTTTACCTAAGTTTTTTCCTTTCATTTTAAGTGTTGAATCTTAACACCATAAACCATAGTTCTTGATTTGATCTTACTATTCCGCAGAATGTACCATAAATTAAGAGGCAATAGAAGGTGCGACGACCCTAGCATTGCTTCTCCTTGCATTGGGTAAGTACTTGCACTCTTTTTTTTCTTTTTTTTTTTATCACTTCTTCATAGTAAGCCATTCACGTCAATTTTTTCCCTGAAATTTTTTCATACATTACACAGAATTCAAAGTACTAATAGTATTTATAATTTATGAATAGTATTCTTTAATATATATTTATAAAATTTATAGAATAGTACAGTATTTGCAAGCCATAAATATATATATAATAGTATTTAAAGCAATACTTAATTTGCAGGTGGGTAGAGATGATGGCCCCGGTGTTCTCCAGGAACTCTTGGCCCTGTGTATGGGATATGATCCAGGTATTATTAAAGAGAGAACCTAAAATTAATACTTTAATTAATTCATTAAAATATTAAAAGAAATAAAGGAATAAATCTATAAGATTGCCAATTTTCAAAGGCTGAACAAGAGGACGAGCAGAAAATGAAAAAGAACGAGCAAATTAGAGCCTAATTTGTATGTTATTTAAGGCCTGGGCCACCTACTTGGTTCTGTTCTATTACTGTATAAACCGTTTTCTTTATTTTTAAACTGCAAGCTCCGTTAGTCCTCTTGATGCCAAATGAAAAAACAAACAAAAACTAATTGAATTATCTCTGTCCACAGAATGACCTAATTCATGCTTGGGGCTTGGATAGGAAACTTGGCTATTGTGCACAGGTAACCTCACTTGCAGAGAAGTTTTCATTTTACACTACTTTTTGTCTCTGTTTTGGATTACTTTCAAATAAACCTTTCAAGCCAAAAATTAGCTTTCTTACCTTTCAAACTCAAAGGAGACATGCCCTTGTGTCTCTGATGTGTGAAGAAACGGGTTCTTCGATTTGCACTTTAACCTCTTGGGTTGAAATAGAAATATTCCCTTTGACACATCTCAACAATGTTTCAGGGTGATCATTTAAGAAATCTTGGAATAGTTGACGCCGAATACATAGTTCATTTTGGCCTGCCAACTCTTGGTGGCTCAAAAAGCAATCAGGTAAGTGATTTCACTTTCTGCACTAAGCATCAAACGAGGACAACAATCATACGATATGAGACAGTAACTCACTCAAATGCCTCGGACAATGTTCAATTTAGGAGGATATCAGGTTTAAGCACAGTTCTCCAATGTTCAATCTAAGTAATGTCCAGGATTAAACCCTTCTGATAGAACATAGAAAAGGATCAATTGTGAAATGAGCATCTAAGCGTGTCAAAGATATGACTCTTATTGAATAATATACTGACAGGCTCGTGTTTGTTTGTCTGTTTATCATTGGTTTGATCTAATTATCTTTTCTTAATAATGATATGATAATTCATCCTTTATTGGGGTTGCAGGGCTCTCGTACCGATCATACTAGAACCAAAGTAAGCTCCTGGATATTCCCTTTTATTTAAATCCTCATAAACAGCCATGTCTACTAGTGTTGTATAAGTAGAACTGTATTGAGTGTGCAGGTTAGGATGGAATCATACAGGGAAATGGAGACTTTTCAGAAAAGATGGAATAATGCTATGAAGAAGGACAAATGTTGGGCAGATCAATATGCACAAACGACAAATCAGAATAGTACATAAGCTATTCATTACTTTATAAAATGGTGTAAATAGGAAAGCAAGGAAAAATAAGTGTCCAACGAAGGTTGATTCACTACATAAATATACAACTCATACCTCACAATGTTGTGCATTTAAACCATGTTGCTGATGTGAGAACCTCAGTGGATAATCTGTAAATATCTCTTAAGCATTCTTTGAGATAGCCTGTCCTGATCTTAGTTAGCCTTTGAAATCTACCTCACCTGAATTTTCTTACCCAAAAGAACAAGTGCTCATTTGATAGCAGAGAAATGTAAGAGATGTATGTTACTTTTTCAGCTTACATAGTGAATGACAATGTCAGTAAAAGATTTACAGAAATAATTCAATTAATTTTCTTACCCAAAAGATCTGTTACCTTATCAGCCTACTTTAACTTGAATTTGTAGCTCTAGGGCATAAAGATTCATGGTTCCATATTTCGATTGTTAGAAGAAGGAAGCTTACCTCATACCAGTTGATATGAAAAACAATACCATCACCATTATCAATCATCTAAGTTGTATTATTGACAAATCATGAATGATTCGACATGTTTTTCAAATTCTATATAATTCAGAGTTGTTTTGGAAAAAGAAACCGCAGAACATCTGACCTAGACAGATTCCTTTCACGATGCTTCTCAACATGAAATATAATTCCTTTCATTAGCAGTGAACTCGATTCTAATATCAATACTACACGTTGGTTTCACTGTTAGCTGGTGATGCAGTTATTCTCGAATCCAAAATTCAATAAACGACAGAACTATCACAAGATTGGACAAGAAAATTTAAGCATTTCATTATTGGATCAAAGATTCTGTAGGAGTTTGGATCTTTTGCTAACATAGGATCAATGATAGCATAAAAATGTCTGTATTAGTGAATTTCGTCCTCTAACGGACGTTTAAGTGTTGTTTCTGCAAAATAAGATATTCTCTGGTAGAGAACACAAAATTCTCTAACACTACCTATACAAAGTGTACAGACTGATACAAAAATCATTCTGATACTGTGAAATTGTTAAATTCTCTACCAAAGTCCTAGTAATTGGATTTGAATTCTCTAAAATACCTTATGGGATACAGCTGGAGAGAGAATGCGAGAAAAAGAAGCATCCTCTACTTCACTTGTTTGCGTCCTCTCTCCAAGACTTACATAGTAAATTTCTTTTCAAACTCTAGAAAATCCAAATTCAAAGTAGATAAATATCTTATCTCTGGAACCAAAGTTATTCAGAAGCCCATCACGGCCATAGAGATGTTGAGCAAGGGCTCCAGTGTGCTTGGATCAAACTTGCGAGCGAAAAGGTAGCATACCGATGTAATTTCTGAATTATGTTGGCACAGGGTTCCGTTGTTTCTTATAGACTGTATAAATCCCACCGTTATGTTCGATGCTCCAAATGTTGCTGGATGAGGACCTCCTTGTGACCAGTCAACCCAAGTCACAGTTCTATTTGAGTTTAGGGAACCATGGAACATGTTCAAGTATGTTGGAATATAGTGTTCATCAGGGTAGCAAGCAGGCTTACAGAATTTTCGGAAGAGTTTGTAGTAATTGGTGTCAGAGATTATATGAACTGCAAGTTCACGGTTAAGTTCAAACCACTGAGAGCCTTTCCGCCAGTGTCTAAGATGGATATGAGGAAGCATGTGCCGGCTATATCGGCCACGGCCATAACGGGAAGGGTCATCATATGAATCAACAAAACTGAGAACAGAGCTAGTAAGGTATTTGTAGACAGTAGGGAAGTCATAGACAGGAATGCAGCTTTCAGAGATAAGAATAAAACGCTCATTTGAAAAGTCAAGCAAGGCATTGGCTAAAAGACGCCTCTCAGCATCAGTCAGAGTTGCTGATCCCCATGAAACATCCTGAAGAAGTTATGGAAAAATAACTTAAAAGAATCGACAGAAGAATCCTATAACAAACAGAATTGTAATTATAGCATCAGAATTCTTTTCCCTATCTTTTGAGAAACAAACACTATTGTGATAGACAGAGAATATGCATAAGGTAGAAAAGTCTTTTCTCCTTAATTAGTACCAGTAAGTCCTTGACAAGCAACATCAGATGTCTATTTTATGAATAGTAAACCTCCGCTCAAATGGGTACCATGGTTCATCATTGGACCTCAATCAAAACCGAAAAAAATAAAATCAATATAGCATATCATTTCCAGTAATGAAATAAAAAATGATGACAAAACAAGTCGTTACCTACTCTTGAAATACAAAAAGAACAACAAAAGATATTTGTGGGTGCAAAAGATGACATATAGATTATCTAAATTTCAACCACCAAGGGAAACACATTATCTATGGTGAGCCTAGGAAGAAACCAAATATTAATTCCAATTTAAAACGGAACACTCCCACCCACCCGGGGCCCCACAAAAATAAAAATAAAAAATAAAAAATCACAGAGACTGAAAATAATATATACTAATTGAAACTAAAGCCCAAAATAATATATTTGCAAGTAGCCCTATTCATGGGATAATCACATGTTTCTTAAATGTTATTTTGATTAATACGCAACATATTCACTTCTTGCGATAGTTTAGGGGGTATAGGATAACATTAGAAAATTCACATATTAAAGTTATCATTAGGTTGAAGTTCAAGGATTACACATAGTTTTCCAAAGTCAAAGTCACAATTCCCAGCCACTTTCAACAGTGTGCCCAGTAAATTCAATTTCCCAAGTCTCTTGAACACGAATGCATGTAATATTCTTCACAAACGGTTCAACACTGCTCTCAGTCTCAAAACAGTCTAAACACATCAGATTAACGTATTGTAATCTTTTATAAGAACGTCCTATCTTCCAAACTTACTCCCTGCAGATAGATATTCCATGCCATTTTTCAATCCTATTTGCTTTTATTGCAGCCACACACAGCTGGAAGATTTTGTACCCTACAAGTAAGTCTGTTGATCCCTGTATTGCATATTAATATGTACTTACCTTTAATATTTTTCGCAAATGTACGTAATGCAAAATTTTAATTTTAGAAGATTCTCTTCAATCTGATAGATACTACACATCTTGCAACAATGCTGGTTTTTTCAAAGGAAACTTGAATAGGACTACGAGCAAATGCACAACAGCTAGGAGACATTATATCTCATTCTCACTGTGATTCTAAAACGTAACTCCTTATTTTAGTTCTTTCTCATATAACAATTACATGCCCCAATTCTATAATGTGCCCCTATAACTCCATAATTTATCTTTTGCATATAGCTAATAGCTGATCCATCTAAATCACAGAACAGGGTCATCAATGACGCAGCACAAATCAGCCAAGCTTCTATAATACGCCATCTTATCATACAGAAGCTTTGCAAAAGAAAATATTTCAACTTTCTGAAGCCTCTAGTTCACACTTCATAAAGCAACAAAGAACTCATTGACCCATCATACAATGTCTACGGCATTAAAGATATGAAAGTAAATGCATTATGCATATACTGATGTTAACAAATTAAACGCGGAAAAACCATAGTTAGAATTCTGTTTCCAAACCTGACTTGGAATCTGCCGTCCATGAAAAACAGAAGAATTAGACACATTCATATTGTATCCTGGAGGTGCATGGACATATATATTGAACAAATCCTCATGCCCTTTGAAGAACCTTTCCCAGAGAGGCAGCAAGGGTAGAGGCCCCCTTGTCAAAAACATAAAAGCCAGTTTAGGCACTCTCCTATAGCTAGAGGGATACCCTTCTTTCTTGGGCACCAAGGAAGCTCTCCAAAAAAGCTCGTCATCGATCAAATTATGGGTCAGGTTAGGGGGATGTAGAAATGTCTCTAAATTCAAACAATTAATTACTTCGCACTCTTGTATGGTTCTTCCACAGTTATCATGTTCCTTAACTTCTTCTTCTGGCACGGGGACAGGTGCGCTTGATGCATGGTTGACGAACGAGTATAGCTCAGATTGTGGACTAAAATAAAGCCTATTAATATGAGAACTTGTAGCTATACCAATAACAATACCTGCTACAAAAACAAGCAAGAATGAAAGAATTTGCGCCCATCTAAGCAAACCCACGTGCCTCTCTGCTTCATCTCTATCTGCTCTATTATGCCTACGCATCCCTTTGGCTCCAACCCCACAAAAGAAAAGAGATTCTCTATCTACTTCTCTTCTGAAGCGACTCAATCAAATCACACCGACAATGAAAAACAAAAACCAAAAAAACCTTCTCTTTTTACCACAGATATTCATTCATCGGCGTCTAGTACTTTCGATTTCGATGCGTTCACGAAATTCAGGAAGAACTCACCCAGGAACAAAATCCCGTCAATGTTCCGCCGTTAAATGCCGAAGCAATCGAAACCCTCCGACGAAATTATCTTGGAACAAGGAATCCACTTTTCGAGTTGCCACGACTAAAATGGATCTGAACGGCGATGAAAAATAGCCCATTCAATGAACTGAAGAGGATCAGAATAAGGGGGTAATGTTGCATTTATCAAAAAGGCACCATGGGTTCAATGGTATTGCATGAAGTAATTAAAAATGAGAAAATCAGACCGCCAACGCGAGAGAGATTCGAAGTGGGGTAGTTGATGATTGCGACTGAAAAAGAAAGAGAATGAGGATAGAATCCGAATAACAATAATAAAACAATAGTAATAATAATTAAACAACAGACAAATCAGGAAAACAAGAATGTTTCTTTGAAAACTAGCCGTCGTCCTCGGCGGCGACGATGGAATTTAGATGGAATGGTCTTATTTTGTCGTTTATGGGTTTTGGGATTTAAAAAACAAGGCGCAAACACATTTTTGCCCTATCGTTTCGCTTCCGTCCACTGTTTTCTTGGACGCGTTACGTGGACTTTTCAATAGGTGGCAAGGCTTTTCTTTTATTTTTTTGCCCTTTCAAACCTTGGGACAGCAGGTTGGATTGTTTTTTCCCACTTTGTTTCTTCGTGTTTAACCCTTAAAAAATTTGTCTTCTGTTTTTAAATTGAACCTAGCCCGTACATTTTTCCGGAATTAGATGCTCTAAGCATCATGATACTCATTGGTAAAATTTACACCATTAATTAATGATCTAGCTTTAAAATTTTCAACTTATATCTTTTAATAAAAAATTATTTTTAAAAAAAATTATAGTTAAAAAATTATATTTATTTGGAATTATATAGCTATTGAAGGAAAACATTTTTCAAAAAATAAAAATTTAAAATTTAAATTTTGGTGAAATTTGACAAGTAACATGATGCTCATTATTGTAATGAGTTCCAAATTTTTCTATGTTTATGAGTTATGCACTGTTATTATAATAATTTATTATGACCTTTATATAATAACCTCTTGTATATCAACTAGAAGGATAGAGGAGGTTCGGTACTCATTGATCCTCATCAAATGTAAACCGTATAGACGGTTGAGATTTAATTTTTTACAAATTTTTTAAAAACTGTTTTCTTTAATACTTACAATCCAAAATAAATATAATATCTTAATGGTAGGTTTTTTAAAAAAATAATTTTTTGTTTAAAAATTTTAAATTTAGACCATTGAAATTATATCTAAATAGTGTCGATTTTATCACAACGATAAGAATTGTAGTGCTTATCATTACAATGAACACCGAAATTGGTTGGAGGAGGCTGTGGGTTCTATTTTGGATTACGTGATCCAAAAGAAATATAATCTCTTAATAGTAAGTTTTTTAATGTTAGATTTAAGGTTTTGATGATAACAAATTAAGGAATCTATGTTTTAGTAAATTGATCGATTACCTGATCAATCAAGGATTTATCAATCACTTGATAGATAAAGTTCCTACGTAAACTGATAACTTTGCAGAAATATTAATCGATAACTTGATAGATAAATCAATTTGTACGTGTTGATCAATCAATTGATCGATCATCATTAACACTATTTTGTATAGAAGTTTGCAAAAAAGGATCGATTAATTAATCGATAATCTAATGATCAAACAACTAACAGATAATGGACACAAGTTTTGGTAAGTATTTATCGATCACCTGATCGATAAATAAGTTATCAATGAGAAGACAGATAAATGGTAAAATTTCCCGCTCTCATTGTATTTTGTTTAAACACCATTTATCGATCACGTTATTGATCACAACTTTATTGATAACTTATTCTGTCATTGCATAATATTTCACTTGCTTATTGATATTTTTTCTAAGTTTAAATTATTTTATCTATAAATTGATCGATCAATGATTTATCGATCAAATAATCAATCAGCCCCTTTTTCACTGATTGAAATTATCTAAGTCTTTATTGAATCACTTGATTGATCATCAATTTATCGATAAAATGATCGATCATCCTATTCACCGAAGTTTCTATTTTCACATAACATGATCGATCAACTTGCCCTTGGGATTTTGAACTAAACTTCTCTACTACATTATTATCAATCACTTGATCAATAAGTCTCTGATCGATCACTTACTCAATCATTATAAGATTTATGCTCTTTATGAAAATCTTTGTCAAATTGTTTTATCGATCAACTTTCTTTTTTCTTTTTTTGGTGAAAATTTTATTGATCAACTTTTCTGCCATCTATTTATTGATAAATTATTCGATCAATATTCCTTGAAAATCAAATTCTCTCTTACTTAGGTTTATTGATAAATTGATCGATCTAACACTTATCGGTCAATTATTCGATCAATGATCCAACTCTTTCAATACCATAAGCTACGGTGAGATCTAAGAATCTTCTAAATATTTCTCTTCGAGTTTTTCTCAGCCTTGCTAATTAACTTAATACTCTATTTTAAATGTTTCAAAATCATAGTTGACCTTGAGTCTTTTTACTACATAATCTTTGTGAGGTCATTCTTTTCATTTATCGATCACTTGTTTGATCATAAGTTAATCCATAACTTGATGGATAAATATAGCTATATGTTTCAAAATCCTTCATCTTAATTAATCGATAACGTAATCGATAAACCAGTTATTGAACATGTCTTCGATCAAGGTTGATTAGTTTATAATTATATTGGATCTGATGTTTGATTGATTTGCTTCTATACTATCATAAGAATATTACTATCATTTTATCAGTTATATTCCTGAATATCATTCTGGAGGAAAAACTTATTAGATTGAAGTATTGTTACAGATTACAAAGAAAGTTTAACGGTTATCCAACAGTTATTCAGTAGCCTGTAGCCTACCATGTCAGAAGCATTAAATGGCGAATATCGTTGCAACTAAGAAAACACGCAACCAAACTCTCAACGGCTAGAAGCTCTTCCGTCTGATGGTTATTAAACTTCCTCAACTATAAAATGCGCGAAGAAGCATTGAATGCATATAATTGAATATGCGAGTTACCTTCTGCAAATAACTTACTATTGCATTCAATACTCTGTTCTTGTTTGTACTGGGCTTCAGTTTTTTTTCATCCATTTACTCTGTGAGAGAGTTTTACATATCATCTTTAATAACTTTCTGAGTGAAACTCAAAAGTGTGGACTCTTGAGTGGGTTTATAACCTTATGGGTAGTAAGAGGGAGTGATTGAGCGAATCAATTGCTGTACTACAGCACCAAGAGTCCGATTAATCTTGGAACTTAGTGAAATACTCAGAGGTGTTCTGAGAACTGGACGTAGGTCAAGTGGTTGAGACTGAACCAGTATAAATTCTATGTCTACTCTCTACAGTGAAATCGCTCTAACTTATGCTCTCTGTTTCTGTTTAGCTTACTGTTTTTTATTCGCAACATTTTTATAGCTCATCCAATTCACTCCCTCTTGGGTGAGACTGCCACTAACATTTTAAAAAATAATTTTTATCCTTTTAAACTCATTAGTGGAAAATTTTATATTTAAACCATTGAAATTATATCTAATAAGTGTAGATTTCATTACAATGATAAAAACGATGGTCCAAAATTGATTTTAGGAGGTTGTGGGCTTTTGCCACAATAACCCAAAAAAAAAGGTGGGTTGGTGTATGTTCCCCTCCTCTAGAGCCGGTAATATGGATTGAATCTATAGGTTCAACCCTCTAAAAATGACGGGTTAGGGTTAGCTGAAAGCCAACCCACCACTACGTCAAAAAATATAACCCGCATCGCCATAAGCTCAACCCATGGTGGGTTGGCAACAGGCCAACCCACTTTTTTAAAAAAAAAAAAATAATGAAGGTAAAAGTAAAGTAGACTTCCACTTCAAACTTCATTGCCATTAGAAATAATTAGATAAAGAGGGTTATTCAATGTTGCTCATTGGTTTCATTGGAAAAAAATGTGTGAACTTGTGTATTGTCATATTGGGAAATTAGACAATCATATACTATTTGTATTTAATTGTGTTGCAATTTTTATTTGGATGTTTGTAATATTTTATATCATTTCTAGTGTTTTTATTTTTGATTATGTATAACTGCTAACATTTAAAAAAATTAAAAAAAAACATTCTAGCAAGTTGGTGGGTTAAGGTTGGTTAAAAGCTAACCCGCCAACAAACAGGCATTCTGAAGTCGCACTGAGTAACTTGTAGCCCTCTATGAGCCAACCCGCAACTCATGCGTTGACCCATATTACTAGCCTTACCCTTCCTTATAGAGGAAGGTGTTTGCATTTTTTTTAAAAAAAGAGTTAATATGATTTTTTTGTCTCTTAAATTTGTTATTATTTTGGTTTTGGTTTCGAAAATTTCAAATCATAGGTTTTAATTCCTTGTGTTTCTTTTCGTTTAAACTATTTGTCTCTATAGTTCAAAAAACACTAGGATCATTTTGTCCCTTGAAGGACCATAACATATGATTTGAAATTTGAAAAGTTAAAACTGAAATTTGGACAAATTTAAAGAAGTAAAGATTATATATTAACTCAAAAAAAAAATAGAGAGAAGGATAGATGGAATAAGAAATATAGAACCCTTAAAGTGAAAAATCATGGGAAAATTACGTACAGATCTCAGAAGAGATTTTATTCATCTAAGGTCCCACGAAATGTCAAAATTACTGACAAGTCCCAAGGGACTTTAGAGTAATATATTCTATTTGTAAAATGACGTTACTGCCCCTCACATTCCAAATTCATATTTGCTCTATTATTGCGATTTACAACCTCAATAGTGACTATTAACAACCCAATGAGAAGATGTTAACAACCTAAACAGTATTCGTTAACAACTTACTTTATAGGATCATATAACCTCTACATAAGAGTAAATTATAACCAAATAGCATAATACAACTTTAACACTAAAATGGGAAGCTTTTTGAAATCATTAAGAATTTTAACTAAACCCAATAGGATTATAACAAAATTTAATGCAGAGATCCATTGACAACCTCAACGGTGAGTATTAATAACCTAAGGAGAACTGTTAACAACCTTAGCAGTGTCTGTTAACAACTGACTCTATAGGATAATATAACCTCTAACAACTATATAAGATTAAACTAAATTATAACTAAATAGTGCTAAAGTTAATCTTATATAGTTGTTAGAGGTTATATTATCTTATAAAGTTATTTGTTAACAGACACTGCTAAGGTTGTTAACAGTTC